GGCCTGTGCGCAAGGCCTAATTCCCCTGCTCAGGTCATTTGAGGCTTGCGACTCTCAGCACGTTTCAGGAAAGTTTCAGCACCTGGCAGCAGGTGCCTGCAAAAGCAGCTCTTCTTGGAGATGGCGTTAAAGTGGAAAGGCCAAGCCCTGGAGGCCGCGGATAACAGCCTGGACCGGAGCCAGGAAGTGTCTCTTAAAAGAAAAACCCCATGGGAAGGGTGTTGGGTTTCCAGTGCCAGGCTGCTCTCCGGGCGAGGGGACAAGAGTTTGCGTGGGAGCAGCCCGCCCCCAGCTCATGACTAACGAGCGGCAGACGAACCCGGGAGAGGCAGCGTCTGGCAGGATCCTGGGATCGTGGCCAGCCCTGCTGCGTGCTGTCTGGCGGGGAACGGCGCAAGCAGCAGAGCGGCAGGTGGGGGTTCGCTTGCAAGGTGCTTCCCGGATGTCAGGTTTTTTCTTTCTCTCGTCTCGCAGGCTCCGTCTTTCTTTCCTGGTTAGGGAACTCCCAGCTCTCGGGAGGAGCTGTCTGAACTTGCGAGCGAAACCAGGGCTGCCTGGCCCTCTCCCTGGCTGCCTGTTCGTCTGGTTCCTAAGACGACTTCATCATGCACAAGAGTCACGGGGGTTCCTGCCAGGGAATTCTCCATCTGGGGGCAGAGAGGACTGTCCTGAACCGACCAGCCAGCAGAGGCAGTGTTTCCTAGGGGGTAGAGCTGGGTTCTATTCTGTGCTCTGCCCCTCCCCGGTTTAGTGACCTTAAGCCCCTGCTCTCTGCCTCAGTTTCCCCTGTGAACCTCTGTCTTGCCTAGCCCCTCAGATTCTGGGCACAAGGCGGGCCCTTGTAGCTGGAATACATGACGGCTGGTGCCACAGTAGCAGGCTGGGCGGTCTGTCGGGGAATGTGCCAGGGCTTGGGCTGTGATTTCTCCATCTGCAAAAGAGGGCAGTCCTGCTTTTGTCAAGTGCTTTGAGACTTGTGGGTGATGTGCTGTATTGTTCAAGATGCTTGGAGCCCGGTGGGGGTGGAACAGATGGTCTGTTCCTTTAAAGCCTTACCCCACCGTCACTTCCAGCTTGTGCTGTGTATTGTGGGCTGTCTCCCTCGTCCTCCCCCCTACCCCTCCAGCATGGAACCTGTCTCCATGGAAAGCAATGGGATTAAAGGGAGGTCTCAGGAGACCCCCCCCTGCCCCCTTGGGAGGAGCCACTGTCCAGCCATTGGACGGGGTGCCTCAGAGTCCCTGCCCTGAGGAGCTCATGGTCTAAACAGACGAAGGGCTGAAGGGAAACTGAGGCACGGAGCCCAGGACTCAGACCAAGGTCCTGGCTCCCAGCTCTGTGCTTTACCCTTAAGCTGTGCCATGCTCTATGCCCTTCAGGGAAGCCCTTCCAAAGGGCCCCCCAGAGGCACTGGGCCTCCGGGCCCTCAGATCACAGGGGTGGGGCTGGTGGGGCAGAAAATGCCTCTTCTCAGAGCTGACCCGCACTTGGGGCTTGGTGTGAGCCAGGGTGGCGCGGGGCATGGATCCTGGCCATTGTCGAGGCTGCCTGTGAATCTTGGTGCAGACCTGGCACGCTGGATCCTGTGGTCTGTGCAGCGTGCGCTCCAGTGAAGCTGGGGGTGGGGCCACGGCTCGCTGGCAGCATCTGGATCCCGGCGGCCCCACCCTGGCTCTCTGGGGCTGTGAATCCTGGCTCCTCCTCTGTGTAGAGTCCTTCCCTTTGGGGCAGGCTGGGGATTCCTCCGCAGCCCCGAGCTCCCGTCCCAGAGGGGACGCCAATGGGGCGGTGAAAGGAGCCGCCTGGTCCTGTCCCTTTAAGGGGAGGCCGCGTCCGCTCATGCTGCGGGCAAGTGCCAGGCCCTGGTGCTAAGCAGATCTTTGCCGCAGGCCGATTGGAAGGCCCTGCCCTATATTTAGAGGGAGGAAGGAAGCGCCCCATCTGGGCTGGCTCTGCAGATGTCGCCGGCCCACGGTGGCTCACAGGAAGAGCCGGCGCGTGGCCGAGAAGTCTGAGCCCAGCGGTTTTCAATGCAGGAGTTTCCCTCTCCCTGGATCCAGGCTGCACGTCGGTCTGTCCCTCCGCCCCCGGGGGCTCTCCAAGGGCCGCCCGGAAGAGCTTTTGGTTTCTCTTCTGTTTTTGCCCAGCTGTTGGACCAGGGCACAGCCCGTGCTGCGCCATGCGGTGAAATCCCCCCGCCCCCCAAGCGCTGTGCCTTCGCAGATGAAAAGGGGGTTTTTCGTTCCCGTGATGCCCCCTCCATCCACTGTCCCCAGGGAGATTTGGGTTTTCTTCTCTGCTGGCTGGCGTGGGGGGAGATGGGGCGTCCGGACTTGCGGGGGTTCCTCCTGGTGGTGCAGTAGGGTCGGGACACACCTCTGTGGCGCCTCCTGCTGGCCGCCTCAGGAATGATCTCTTCAGCCTCGACTGCCTTCTGCTGCCCGGCTTCCCTGCCCCGTGTCCCTCCCTGTCCAGGTGCCCTTTTCCTTGCGGCACGGCCCCGGCACTCTGGGGTCCTGCCCTCCCAGGGAGCCCCACCCCCCACCTTACCTCAGTGGCCCACTGCCGGTCGTCATCTCGCCCCTGCCTCAGGCCAACTGCTGTCTGACGTGGCCGCTCCTCATTGGCACCGACCTGCCCCCTGCTACCTTCAGGCCTTGGGAATGAGGCCTCAGCCTGGGAGTTTGCCTGGCCAGAGCTTCCCCAGCTCTGCTCTGTCTTGGGTGCCCTCTCCAGCCTGCCGAAGCAAGAGCGTGTCGTTCCTGCCCCCCCATTCTCCACCCCCAGGAGTCCCTATTCATACAGCCCCAGCCAGGCCCTCATTGGCTGCTATTTGCTGCATCTGCTGGTTCACCAGCCCTCTCCCAGGCTTGGGTTTAACCGGGGCCGGCGTGGGGCAGATGCCCTGTCGCAAGTGGCTACAGCAGTGGGGGAAATTGGAAATCCAGAATCTTCTCTTGTGAGCTGGGAGTAGAACCCAGATGTCCCGATGCCCCGCCCCAGCTGCTCTAGCCACTAGGCACCGCTCCTCCCAGAACAGAGAACGGAACCCAGGAGTCCTGGCTCCCGGTGGCCTGCTCTTGCTACTAGGCTGTACTGCTGGGTTCTTCCCAACTTTGCCACGGGCTCACTATGTGATCCGGGCTTGCTGCGTCTCTTTGCCTCAGTCTTCCTGTCTGTGAAAGGGGAAGAATATCCCTACCTGATGGGCTGTGTGGCGAAGTCTGACCGGTTATGGGGCACTCAGGTACCAGACGGACATGGACTCCCAAGGGCTTCCAGCAGAATCCAGTGGCTGAGACCCTGGACCAGGGCTTGGCAGGGCCGATTCTGTTCCCAGCTTTGCCAGGGCCCC